GATTGGCACAGGATAGAGCAGAGTTTAGGGCTGTTGTACATAGGGTCGCTATGAGTCGCAAGCGACTCGACGGCACATAACAACAACAACAAACACGTACGAGGGTTGCTGTGTAGCTCCTAGGACTATTTCTTTCCTCTTAAGAAATAAAAACAAAGGGAAGGAGGAGGGGGAGGGTAAAAAGCAGAACTCTAGGAAGAAATAGTTTTTCTCCTGCTCCTGGCTTCTGCTAAATCTGTATATAATCTTAGAACTACACCAGCCACTCTGAGACTATGCGCTAGATTAGCTTCAGATTAGCTGCTATTGGAAGATGAAGTAGAAAATGGTGGAGAGAATTCTGGTTCTTTTAACCTTGGGGTATGGAAGTAATCTCACTAGCTTCATGTTATGTGAAATATTAAATTCTCCTTTTTATCACTAAGTAGCTTTTTTTTTTTTAACATTTCTGGTCTCAGGGCCTCTTTATACACTTAAAAACGAAGAGATCTCCAAATAATTTCATCTATATGGGTTTTGTCTATTGATAATTATCTTATTAGACACTGAGGAAAAACAAACATTAAAACCCTCAAGAATGCACCAAGGAATAAAGCAGTTGTCATATGTTATGAACCTCACCGCAAAGAGCTCTACACATCGATGAGAGAATGGGCAGGCAAAACAGAAAAATTAATTGGGGGGAAAATATCAAAGGAAGGGTTTCAGAAACTCAGTGGCCCCTGTAGCTAATTTTGAAAACTACTGAATTTGGCTGTGTTGTATTGTTTTTTAAAAAATAATTATTTGCTGCTGAGAATAACCTAAATGATACAATGGTGCGCTCCAAGAAAAGGTTATTTAAGAAACTGTTCCCATTAGAAAAGTAAAAGCAAAGATGATATAAAGATATCAACCACTTGGATTTATCAAAGAATTACCAGAATGAAACCAATGTCATAATTATCTTTTGACTTTTTAAACATATGCTATTAATGCTCCAATACACTCTTGAAAATTTACAGAGAATATCCATTCTCAAGAAAAGAATAAGAGTATAAAATAAAGGAGAAAACACCTCTTACTGGGAAAAAAACCTCTGCAGTTTGTAATACTTTATTTGGCTAGCAGAGCTGGGATTAGGGAAACAGTTACAAAATGACTTCTAAACTAGGTATAAAGCAGTCGAGTTTAAACTTGAAGACAATGCCCTCTCATGGTTCTACTGGGTAAGGACAGAAAAAGACCTAAACCCCACACTCTGTGAATAAACTGACACAGTGACTAAACAAGGGGCTCCAGCACATTAGAGACGGGATGGCACAGGACCGGGTGAGGCTTCACTCTGTTGTACATAAGAGTTGACTAGTAGGCACCTGACCACAACAAAATGTAAGTCTGGAGTTTACAATTCAGTCTATTACATATATTACCATTAAAGCTAAGAAGGGGCCCTGGTGGTGGTGTGCATTATGGTTACGTTGATAATTGAAGACCAGCAGTTTGAACCTGTCAGCTGCTCCTCAGGAAAAAAACAGGGTACTTTAAAAAAAAATTACCACCTTAATGATTTACAGACTTGAGAGAAGGTCACCATGGGTCAGGATGAACTTGACTGCAGTGGGAGTTAGCTGAAGTTTATGATTCTTTCCGCTACCACACTCTTTTTAAAACCTATAAAATGAAGTCTCCTATTTTATAGAGGTTGAAATGACTTTTAACCTCTTACATCTTTTCTCTATGCCTAACATCAATTAAAACTCCTACAAAGAGACCAGCAATTACCTTTAGCACCAGACAGTAGTCTGTAGGTGCCTTGTATTTGCTCCGATAATCCTGTCCATAGTAAACATTGACATGATCCAGCTGGAGGAAGCACACGAGATCCCGTGAAACCTGAAAGGAAACCACTAGTAAGATGGAATCAACAATAATGTGAAAAATGTCACATATCTGCAGCAGTCTCCAGTTTACAATCAAAACTGTACTAAGCAGACATTACTGTTTTCCATACAACACAATGAGACTATAAATATGAATCTACCATGCAACAAAAATAAAATGGGCACTGTAAATATGCTTTAAAATTAGAATAGCATATTAAGTTTAATATGGCAAAAACAGAATTCTCTCGGATGAACAAGAAAATATCATGCCTTCAGTGCCTATAACACATGTGAAATGCAACGATTCTCAACTGAAGGCTTCCTCACTAGTTACTAGGGACAACACAGGATTGTTGTGAAAATCAGAAGAGATGATAGTAGAAAGAGCTGAGTTACGGAATATTCAGGAATCACCTGTGTGTACTTTATGGCTTCAGAGATGATATAATAACTAATCAAGATTTAAATGCCTCTATCCCAGAAAGCTATTATACCAACACAAAAACTAAAAACAAAGTTCACAGACAATAAACTAAGTAACAAACAAACAAACAAACAAAAAAATCAAAGAACTATCATTTTAATAAGTCACGATAATAATGAAGTATAATTATAAATTTGTTAAAAGAACTGAGGTGAATCAACTAAATGACCAGAAAGTAAACCTTTTCAAGTTTTGTCATCTTTACAAAAGAGTAATAGAAAAATTAGTATTCTTTGTTAGCAGTTGAATGAAACACATCAGAACCTGAATTCCTCTTGCTGATCTATTCACAACAAAGGAGAAGCAGTTAGTAAAGCATACATAATAAGGAGGCTTCAGGGCCAATAGAAGGACACACCTTTGCTTTTCCTTTAGGGACATAGTAGATACCAGATGCTCGCAAGAGAAAGTAACGCTTTTTCCAGGACTTCTTGCCATCTTCTTTCAACCAAAGCACTCCTTCGATTTCTGGCACGGTTACAGAACTACCACCAAAACATTCCTGAAATAAAATTATTTGGAGAGATTTATGATCCCTGAATTCTCACAGCAAAGTTGTGTTTACCTCCATAAAAGCAATGAAATTGTAATTTATCCAAAAGACAAGCCTTAGACTGAAACCATGCTGCTAATTGGTCTATACTAAAATTTTCCATTATAATTAAATATGGGCTTATTTTGGAGCTCTGGTGGCTTACTGGTAAGGAATTGCACTGTCAAAGCAAAGGTACACAGTTAAAATGCACTAGTTGCTCTGTGGGAGAAAGATGGGCAATCTTCTGTGTTACTTATTTCCTCTGAAAACTTATTGGAGGATCAACTATGGGTCAGTTCCTAGTTGACGGTACACAACAACAACATGCAATTATTAATAAACCTCTGAGCTTTATAATGCCAGTCAGTAATTAGAAGGAGTTTTCACCTCCAAATCTATTAGTTGCTTAGAAGAAACACTAGCTTAAAATGTATACTACTACTTAGACTAATCTGTGAAGAGTGGCAGTCGTCAGAACAGAGCAAGGGAACACTGCAAGGGGAAGGGCGTACGCCAGGGATGCATCCTATCTCCATACCTTTTCAACCTATATGCAGAACAGATTATCTGGGAGGCTGGGCTCTATGAGGAGAAATGTGGGGTCAAGATTGGTGGACGATTTATCAACAATCTGCGTTATGCAGATGACACAACTCTGCTTGCTGAAACTGAAGAGGACCTGAAGCACCTGCTGCAGAGGGTCAGGGACTGCAGCCTACAATATGGATTGAGGCTCAATGTCAAGAAGACAAAGATTCTCCCACTGGACCAATTGGCAGCATCAGGATGGATGGTGAAGAGATTGAGATTGTACATAGCTTTAGTTTGCTTGGCTCCACAGTCAACAGTCTTGGCACCAGCAGCCAGGAAATTAAAAGGCACATTGCCATGGGCAAGTCTGCTGCTAGGGACCTCTCCAAAGTACTGAAGAGCAATGGTGTCTCTTTGGAGACTAAGGTGCGTCTGATACAGGCCATGGTCTTCACAATCACTTGTTATGCATCAGAGAGTTGGACAATGACCAAGGAGAATAGAAGGAGAATTGATGCCTTTGAGCTGTGGTGCTGGAGAAGAGTATTGAGAATACCATGGACTGCTAGGAAAACAAACAGATTTGTCCTGGAAAGGGTTAAACCGGGTGGCTCCTTGGAGGCAAGGATTCTGAGGCTCCGTCTAACATACTTTGGACATGTTGTGAGGAGAGACCAGTCCTTAGAGAGGGACATCATGCTTGGGAGGGTGGAGGGACGGCACAGGAGAGGAAGGCCCTCTCTGAGGTGGATTGATTCAGTGACTGGGATAAGCGGGATGGGAGTGTCAGAGACAGTGCGATTGGCACAGGACAGAACAGAGTTTAGGGCTGTTGTACATAGGGTCGTTATGAGTCGCAAGCAACTCGACAGCACATAACAACAACAACAACAACAACATAAGTATTATCTTTTACTTTTCTTTAAATTAACTCCACATTAAGATGACTTGTCAAGTTAAACAAATGTATCTTAAAGCAACATGGTTAAGTGAGTGAATATAAAAGGAGCAGACACAATGTGGCAGAGGCCAAGTCTGACTTCTACCTGCTTGGTAAAGGGAAACTGCCCCCATCAATAACATTCATAGTACCAAACAAATAGCTACACAGTCAGATATGCCACCCCCACATGTCCTGCACCTGTTTCTACCAATCATTGGGTCCAATTTTCATTGCAATTTGACTCACAGACTTTAGGCACAGTTGTGATGTGCTATAATTAAGAAAATGGGTTGGGGAGTAAGGGAGGCAAGTATTACCCAACAGAAGCCCAGAAGTTCCAATCCATACGGATAGAAGATAACAGTATTCCAAAATATAGGATATGAGTTCTCCAAAATTCAAATTGACCAATCAAACACTGGGCTTCCTGTTTAGTTTTGGGAGTAGGCAGTGTCAGCAGTTTGTTCTTGGTTGCCTGTAGAAAGTCATGAGTAGTTTCTACCCAGGTTATTCCCAAGAATTTTACTGTTTCTGCAGGCCCTGGATCGTTGCTAGAATTATCAACCAACCACTGTTGGTCATGAGGGAAACCAATGTTTTCAAATCATCCCTAGCCTGTTCTTCAGTGTTTGATATTAACAAGATATCATCAATGTAATGTATAACTATACTGGGTACCTAGATCAATCCAAATCTCTTCTGCCAGATTACGGCAGTAGGCTGGCAAATTCAGGTAACCCTGTGGTAAGACGGTAAAGGTCAACAGATCCTTCCCATGTGAAAGCAAACTGTGGGTGGCTCTTTTCAGAAATAAGAATGAAGAGAAAAGCATTTGCAAGATCTGTCACTGAGTATAGTCTCCTTTGTTCTGCTGTGGTTTTTTGCACTGTTGATATCATGTCTGGGACTGCTGAAGCTACATGTGTCATAAAGCGTTACTTTATTTAGGCCTCAATGGTCTACAGTTAACCTCCATGAGCCATCTGCCTTGTTAACAGGCCATACTGGGCGGTTAAACAAAGAATCTGTCAGCACTCCAGCCTTCAGCATGTATTTAATCAAGGCAGTTATCTCCTTTCACACCAGGAATCCTAATGGTTCCCATTTAGCAAGTTCCTATCAACACTGGCCTCAAGGCAGACTTGTAAGCCCTTAGTTTTACAATATCTGGTTTTGTTGTTGTTGATTGTCCTGAGTTGAGCCCTACTCATAGTAGTAATCCTATGAACAAAAGATCTGAAATCTTTCTTCAGCTATAGTCACTTCTCCAAGTTCACAGTTTCCCCGAGTCATGTGGTTTAGGAAGTGGATGCCACTTCTGCTTCCAAACCTGTTTTAAACTGGGAGCTCCACCAAACACTGTCCACCTTGGGCAACTGTTTATGGCATTTGACATCCCAATGGCACAAGGTTCAGCATAAAAGCAAACCCAGATTACCTCAGTACAGAAAACTGACAGAAGAGTGCTATACTAATTAGAAGAATGTTCCTCTAAAATTATAACATGAGGCCTAAGGGCCTTCCAGTATGTCTTGTTCACACTAAACAACGAGAGGCTTAAATAAAAAAAAAAAACAAAACAAACCAACAACCAGAAGTTCTACCTGACCCTCAATCAAAACAAGTGCACCAATTTTATAGTCCTGCCTTGTATTACTCAATTAGACATAGTATCCATACCAATGGCATCCACTTCCTAAACAATGTGGAAACTATGAATTTGATAAATGTTGATAGTTGTAGAGGGGCTTCAAACCTTTTGTTCTTAGGGTCACTATGAGTCGTGCTTGACTTGAAGGCAATCAACAAGAAGAACATCCATATCAATAATACATTCAGGTAGAGGAGATGTGACCACTTCATACAATGTCTGTTTATATTTTCCAATTCTCATCCAGACTTTCACTCTAGTCCCATTAATTACTACATTTTCATATCCTTCTAATACTACCATAGATCCCTTCAAAATTTTATCACTAGATTTGGGAATTACAGTACAAAAAAAAATCTTCACCACCGTCAGGTTATTTTTTACCTACACACACGAATTTAATACCAAGACACAATTCCTCAATTAGTTCAGACAGCTTCACAATCAACAAGTGACAGTCTTAGTTCAGTTCAACAGCACAAATAAATCTCTGGTTTCCTCAATCATCCAGCAAACTTTATCTTACAGCAGTTATAAGTCAGTTTTCATTCAATCATTCAGCAAGCAAAATCTTTAACTGTGGCTCCATCTCCAGGGTTTTTCTGGTTAGACTTTGTCACAGTTCCTTCACAGCAATGTTACAGTCTCTTCATCCTCTCCCCACTACAATTTGTCACAGTGTGGAAAGTACTCTCTTATATTGGTCCCACAACTGTTGATGATTTGCAAGACCATATGTCCACAGTTAAGGTAGCTGGAGATGAGGGATAGCACAGATAGAAAAGCCAGTTTTCAAGGTTTTTGACACCACTATGGGTTTTTAAAACCAAAGTTTTAAAGTGACTAAACTTTAAAAGTCTAAAAACTATCATAGCTAATATATGTTAAGACAAAAGAAGTTATTTTTAACATGTTAATACTGAGGCTGAAGAAAGATAAAACTGAAATGCTATATACACTTAGATAAAAATCTAATAATAAAAAAGAAAAATCCTCATTAAGCGCTAACATGGGACATATTCAACCTAAAATAAATTTCTTACCTAAGGTCAAGAAATATTAATATTGTTGTGTGAAGGTCATTAAAGTTTTCAAATTTACTTAATTCTTTAATTTTAGCTGTTAGCAAAAGCAAAAAAGAGCAATCATTTAAATTTCCTTTATAATTTTTCAAAAGAATGCTTTAATAGTTTCTAGCTAACCAAAAAGAGTGCTGGCACTCATAGCTGTTAGAATCTACCAGCAGCTATGGAGGGAAAAGATAAGTATTCTCCTTCTGTTAAGATTTACTGTTTCGGAAACCCACTGGAAGGTTGCTATGAGTCAGAATCAAATCAATGGTAGAGAGTTTAGCTTGCATATCTTTGTATTTAAAAACAAAATGATTATAATTTTAAAAAATAATTTGTTATTTAGGTCTAAGGTAGAAAATACTTTGTGACCAGCTGCTTACTTTCACATTTCTCCCCCTCGTTGAATAGATGAAATACCACAATCACTTCCCTCAATGACTAACCCTTTCTCTTGCTCTGCAGTCCCAAAAGGCTCTTTACTCATTTTACTCACTGTCAAGTCAGAACTGACTCACTGCTAACTCTCCACTGGGTTTTAGAGGTTGTGAATTGCATGGCAGATATGGCCTATCTTCCTCCAGTGGTGGATTCACATTGCCAAAGAGACTTAGCCTTTGGTTTAGCAGTACAACTCTATCAAGACTATTCTATTGGAGCTGCCTTTACTCATTCTAGTCCACTAGAACATCACTCAGCAAAATAAGTTATTAAAAGCCTCTTTCTCTGGTGGTTGAATACATGTTCACACAGTCCAGCTCTCTTCTTAAAGCTATTATGCACTGTAAGCTTCTTGAGGTCCAACTCTAACTGTAAACATAAAACAATGGCAAGCCTGATTTCACAAAGGTGCTTATTATTTTCTTTTTTTTTTTTCCACTGTGAAGGAACAAGGGTGCTAAGGGGAGGAAAGGAAAGACTCATACCTCCAGAAGTACTTCTTTGTTTCTGTCTGCCATCTCAATTGTTTCCTTTTTCCCCAGGAGGTAATTCTGGAAAAATGAATGATATATGAAGGATAGAGCCATTTGATTATTCCCTCGGCATAGGTGTAGATAAGACTTCCAGAAACACTGCACCTCTAAGTCCATTTCTGCCTGTGCACAGTGCAGGGAGCACCCACTGGAAAAGCTCCCCCAGTGATAGCTTTGTCACCAAAATGCTGGACAAGGGTCTCCTCTTTTGCTGTTCATTTGTTATCAATTATGCAATCAACTGCCTAATGTGTTTTAACATGTTAGCATGTCTACTGAATGTGGTATTTCAAAAAGGACCCAAAGGGCTTATAAATTATTAAGTACAATGACTAAGACAAATTCTCTAGAACATGCTAAGCTTAACTGATCTAGATACAGAAATTTTAACTTCTGATCTGGTTTTTCAGAAGGAATTACAAATCCTTCGAGGTCATCACAATGTCACTTATTTGACCTATCCAGAAATCGCAATTAAAATTATTGGCTTACAATTCTTTTTTTATAACCACCACCAATAATACTCGTTGACACTACCAAATAGAAACTTGACTAAAAATATCCATAAAAGACTGGTCATGCACACGAAGGTTGAAGGACAACTACTTAATTCCTTTAACAATGCTGTTTTCCTCCATGACTATTTTATAGTGTAGAGTTCCTTTCCCCCCTTACTAATGTCTTTATAAAATGTCTGCATTTTGAGAAGTATTAGCCCATAATCCCTTATTAGAACAAACAAAGATAGCAAGTAAATCAAGGTAACATGTAAGAATGAGGCCATTTATAATCATGGTTACTGAGATTTTTTTTAAAAGTGTCAACTGGATAAAAGGTTGATGTAGAGGAACCCAGAAATGGTAAACGCTTTCCTCTGAGAGATGGCACTCTCTAGCTGCTTCTCTAACCATTTCTAGATCAGAGAGAGGTGGAATCTGTTGGCTTCCTGGAGTTTTTCTGCTTCCACTGGGATCATCACTACATGCCACCTGGTAGGTTGGCAGCTTTTTGTGTGGCCTCAAAACTTTACTAAGCAGGCTTTCTACCTCAGCAGCATGAGCTTCCATGGATTTCCTTTTATGCTATTAACTCAGCATAGACAGAAGGTCTGGTATTTAAAAATTCTAACCTCTATAAGAAGTTATCAGTCTTACCTGTGGGTTTTTGAAAAGTGCATATTTTTCTATACGCTCCATAAATATGAGTTTGTTCTGGCTATCTCTTGTCCAATTGAGAAGATTTTCAACCAAGTTTTCATGGTCTTCAAAGATTCTCTCTGTCCCAAAAGAAAATAACAATATTTTGTTAGTGCTCATAAATATTACATTATTTTACTTTTACTTATTTTGAAACTGTAGGAAAGATTATGATTAAGAGTCAAAGAAATTTTATGAAGCAATTCACTTCAGAAACCTTGATATTTAAAGATTTTTTTGATCTTTCCTCATTTTCCCCTCATGACTACAGGGATTAACTGAGGTAACAAGGTGACACAAGAACTAGGGCTAAAATATAGATCTGATTCAATGTATGTAATTAATTTTAAAGCCTCTAGCCATATTCTATCCTAATCTGTAAGAAACAAAAGCAAACTCAACATAAAATATACTTCAGCTGTATTTTAAAAATTTTGATAACTAATATTTGCAATAGTACTCAATTCCTGGCATTAAAAAATTTCCCAAGAATTCTTTGCCCACTGAATTTAGTTTAATTCCAAAAAAAGAATAAGCTTTCTAATTTCCAAACTAAAAATCAATGACTGTCCTTTATAATGCACACATGGTCAAGAACCATGTTCTTAAAATCACAATTAAAAAAACAATAAATGCAGTTAACAACAAAAGCAAAAAACATGTTCTAAAATAGATTTTTAAAAATTTGTTGGGAGTTGCTATATAGCCTCAAAATTTAATCAATTCCTGAGAAGTCTTCATTTCTGCTTAGAAGGAATGTATATTTTCCTGTTAGGAAAAGTCATAAGCAGAGCTGTTGTTATATCAGAGAGTCAGTTCCAACTCACAGCAACCCTGTGTACAAGAATAACATGCTGCTCAGTCCTGCAGTGATCCGTACAATCACAGCTATAGTTGTACCCACTGTTGAAGCCACTGTGTTAATCCATTCCACTAAAGGTCTTCCTCTTTCTTCCTGACCTTCTATTTCACCAACCATAGTGTCCTTCTCCAAAGACTGGCATCTCCTGATGTTGTTATTATGTGCGATTAAGTCGCCTGCAACTCATAGCAAACTGAAGTATAACAGCCCTAAACCCTGCACTATCCTGTGCCAACCTTACTGTCTCTGACACACCTACTCCCGTTGCCCAATTACTGAATCAATCCATTTCAACAAGGGCCTTCCTCTCTTGTGCTGTCTTTTCACCCTCTCAAGTACGACATCCCTCTCCAAGGACTGATCCCACCTTGCAATATGTCAAAAGTATGTATGTCAGATAAAGCTTCAAAATCCTTGCCTCCAAGGAGCATCCTGTTTTTACCCTCTCTAGGATGAACCTGCTTATTCTCCTAGCAGTCCCTGGTATATGCAATACTCTTCTCCAGCATCACAGCTAAATGGCATCCATTCTCCTTCTGTCATCCCTAGTCATTGTCCAGCCCTCTGATGCATAACAAGTAAATGCATTTCCTGATATCATGTTCAAAATATTTCAGACAAAGTCTCACTCATAATTTTCTCTTCTAAAGAATATTCTGGCTACACTTCCTCCAAGACATCTTGCCCATCTAGAAGTTTAGTGTATATATTCACAATTCCTCACCAACATCATAATCAAAAGACATCAGTTCTTCTCTGGTCTTTTTAATTCACTGCCAGGTTTCACATGTATACGAGGCAAATGAAAACACTCTGGCTTGAGTTAGGTGTACTATTTAGTCCTCAAAGTGTGATCTTGTTCTTTTGCAATTTAAAGAAGTCTTTTGCTCCTGATGCTCCCGATTTGCACAATGTAACATGCTGTCTTACTGACGACTCTTTCCGTGGGCACTGACTTAAATTTCAAGTGAAATAAAATCACAGACAACTTCAATCTCTCTTTTTTTTTTTTAAAAAAAATATTACTTTGTGTGTGTACTGTCAAATCAGATCTGATTTGTACAGGAGGAGATTGCCTCTCCTTCTCCAGCAAAGCATCTGGTGGATTTGAACTGCATACCTCTGGGATTGCAGTGGCAACTTCTTGCCAATAGGCCACCAGAGCTCCCTGACAACTTCAATCTCTTATCCATTTATTATGTTGCCACCTATTGATCCTGCTGTGAAGATTTTTGTTTTCTTAAGGTTGAGGTGTGATCCATATGAAAGACTACTGCCTTTGATATTTTTGGTATTTTGGTATATGCTGCAAGTCTTCTTTCCCTTCAACAAACAAGGATATGTCATTTGCCTATAAGTCTGTTGTGTCTTCCTCCAATTCTCATGTCACATTTTTCTCCGTATAGTTTCTTGAATTATTTGCTCATTATACAGACTAAGCAAGTATGGTAGAAGAATATAATTCTGAGGTACTTGTCCTAATTTAAAAGCATGCCATACCTTCTTGCTTTGCTTGTACAACAGGCCTCTTTGTCTATGTACAAGTTTCTGTGTGAGCAAAGTAAGTATTCTGGAATTCTCAATTTTCTCTGTAATTTCTTATGATGCGAAAAAAAAAAATTCCATAATCCCTAAAACATGACCAAGCATCTTGATATTCTCTACTTTCAGCCCACATCCATCTGACATCGGCAATGACATTTTTCATTCAACACCCCTTCTCTATCTACTGTGAAATTCTTGCAGTTCTCTCTGTTCCTTTACTGCGTACTAGTTTGAAAGTTCTAATTCACCATGTGTTTTTTGGGAGAAAAATAGGCAGTCTGTTATTATGTATTATACAGCCTCTGAAAATCACTGGAGGATCAGCTACTACTCATTGGTTCTCAGTGGCATATAACAAAAACATCAGTGTGGAAGTCCAACAGTCTTAAGTTACTACATTTCTATTTTTCTAGGTTAGTTAGCCATTGAAGAATAAAGTACAAAGTTGATAAGTTCCTTTTACTTTCCTTCTAGATAATGAAAGTTCTTAGTTTTAACCGTGGTCATATCTGAGTCAAGAATTATACTACTGTGGTCTAATATACAAATCCTTTTCAAAACCAAACATCTGCCTCTTTGTGTCCTCTGTCCCAACCACCACCCATCCTCATATCATTAATCTGTGAGCTCTGTCTCGTCTTCCTAGCATACATCTTGTAACAGTTCTTTCAGTTCAGGCCTCATCATCCTGTTTCAGGTTTTCATCAATTTAAAAACAATTATTTTTTAAAAAAGTTTTCTTTAAATATGGAACTCTAGGTTTAAAGCTGATAGTCAAGTTCTCCTTAAATAAAAAAAAATAATATTCTCCTATTTTGGAGCATCTATAATTATTGACTGGAATAAATTATCAGTTTAATTAACATGCTTTTGTTGCTACCTATTTAACTTAGATAATGCCTCTGGTGTTTTCCAGCTTCATTACATGTCTTGGTATAGATGCTTCTCATTTGAGATCCACGTATCTGAAGAATCTTCAATCTGTTCATTAGTTTTAGAAAATTAACAAGGAATTACTTGTTTGAACTTTGTCCCTCCCTATTTTTGTACTACTTTATGGTTCTGTTTCTTTTGTCCCCACTTTTACTTGGGCCTTTTCTTTTTCCTGCTCAGTTTTTGTTCCCACAATTTATTTCTTTAAAAATGAGACTCAGGCCCTTTCTACGAAGATGGCGCCAAAAGTGAAGAAGGAAGCCCCTGTCCCTCCCAAAACTGAAGCCAAAGCAAAGGCGTTAAAGGCCAAGAAGGCAGTCCTGAAGGGCATCCACAGCTAAAAAAAGAAGAGCCACACGTCACCCAACTTCAGGAGGCCTAAGACGCTGAGACTCTGAAGGCAGCCCAAATACCCCCAGAAGAGTGCCCCCAGGAGAAACAAGCTTGACCACTATGCCATCATCATATTTCCCCTGACCACTGAGTCAGTCATGAAGAAGATAGAAGATAACAACACACTTGTGTTCATTGTGGATGTCAAGGCCAACAAGCACCAAATTAAACAAACTGTAAAGAAGCTCTATGACATCCAAGTGGCTAAGGTCAACACTTTGATTAGGCTGGATGGAGACAAGAAGGCTTATGTTTGACTTGCTCCTGACTATGATGCTTTGGATGTTGCCAACAAAATTGGGATCATCTAAATTGAGTCCAGCTGGCTAATTATAAATATAAATTTTTCACACACACACACACACACACACACACACACACACACACACACACACACAAATGGGACTCAGTTTTAGGAGTCTAAAGGGACTAACCCATTTCAGCTCTTTTAGCTCTTATGGTGTGCCACTGTACACTCATGTTACCAGAGTGAGCAAATCCCCTCCTTTACTAGCCCTTACTCTCAAGTTGCTGGTCTAGTGGGAAGAGTTGTGCTGCCAATGAAAAGGCACATGGTTTGAATATACCAGTTGTTCCACAGAAGAAAGATGTGCGATCTCTTCCCATGTGATTTACAGCCTTTGAAAAGCTACCAGAGGGTCAGCTATGGGTCAGTTCTGATTTGACAGCACACAACATTTTCAAGTTGAACACTTCTGTTCTCAGACCCTATTACAGTCACCTGACTGCTTTCCTATTTATTCCCCCACACAAATGTCAACCACACCAGGTGCTTAATCACACAGTACAGGGAGTGCCTGGGTTATAAAGGCCCAATGGATGCATACTTATCCTTTAATACTATATAAATCTGCCCTCGCTTTGCAATGACTGAACTGATCACACTTGTCACAAACTCTTCATCATATCACCTTCACTTGTTGCATGTGAAGCTTTTAAATAATTGGAAAGGCCTAAAGCACTAAAGTAAGGCTAATTAAGAACTGTATATCTTTGTTCTGACTTACCTATGAATTCTTAAAGGCACAGGAATGAATCTTGTAACCTGGAAACCACCTGTACTGAGCAAGGACCCTTCCAGCTTTCATTCTAAGATAAAAATCTTTCACAAGGACTATGTAATATAACACACTGAGGAAGAGGATGGACTCTACAATCATATGGTCTGAATTTGACTCTTGTTTTCACAAATCATTACACTTGAGAAAAGAGCACCACAAGAATGAAAAATGAGATAACAACACAATTTATAGCCTACTTTATTCATTCAATAAGTGCTGAATGTCCAAATATTATATTGGGAGCACAATGCTATACGGAGCTGGTACACTAATTTTCATTTCATTAATTAACAGTTACTTAAAACATTATCTCAAACTCAAAACTTATTACTGTGAAGTCGGAACCAACTTCCAGCTGGTCCCAGTGAGTTTTCAGATGCTGTGAATCACATGGGAGAGGGCTACCCATCTTTCCTCCCCGGAACTCTAGTGGATTGAAACCACCCTGGGGTTAGCAGTGCAACCTGATAAGGATTTGGTCACTGGAGTTCCCACTAAAACATTACAGTCAACTTCATAAAAATTTCAGAAACATGTCATTATTATCCTGATAATATCCTAAAAATTAGCAGTGATACATATTCCTCTTATGATTATGCTATTGTTTATGAATGCAAACGCTAAGTTCTCTAGGAAAGCTACAGATGAAAGTTAACAAAATGTATTTCTACACACATTAATAAACTTCTAATACTCTGTGGTCTAGTTTATGGAGAAAGTTGTATGCATCATAGGAAAAAGGAGTAACAATTATATGTTTATTTCTCTGAAGAGTGTGGTCAGATACTGAAAAATAAGAGTAAGAGCAAACACACACCCACACACACACACACCCACACACACACACACACTCTTAAAGTAAAATAGCAAGTGGAAATTCATGATTGGTTTAATAAAATTGATAATTATTTCAGGACTTCCATAGTCACTACATTAGACTCACCCAAAGCATTTTTTTAAAATTAGAAGTTAATAAGAGAATGAAAAATGAAAGAAATTTTTAGTTAGAAACCACTACCCCAAATTATAAAATTATCAGAAACTAAGACTTCATACATAAGCTATGCTTCAAATATTTCTTCTGAAAGACAAACATTAATATAAAGGGTTTTGGGGTTTTTTTACACACATATGCAAATAAATATAATGGTCTTTCCTGAATGTGGGGATATGTACAGTTCTTATTTTATGAAATTTTTCTTCCTTAACTACTTTAAGGGAGCTCTGGTGGCTTAGTGGCAAGAAGATGCACTGGAATTCCAAAGGCCACCAGCTCCTTTGTGGGAGAAGGATGGGCAACTGCCTCTGACTAGCTGCCTCTGAAAACCCGCCCGAGGGTCAGCTATGGGTCCAATGCTACGGTACACAACAACAAACTGTTTTAAACCATAAGAAAGTCTAAAGTGACCTGGAAATGATTTTATATTCAAAGACTTTAAAAATATTTGGGGGGGGGGAGAAGTCATAAAATATTATATATATATATATATATATGTTTAAAAGTGCTTTTATAAACATGAAAACTGTCGGAATAACAGAAAACTTTAAAGGTGATTAAAGAAAATGATGTTATTACTAACCCATTTGTAACTCAGAGATGGTTTCTACTAGCGACCAGTCTGAACTGTAACCACAGTGGGATTTGTCCATCAGGTTATCCAGCACCTGTCTCACTGTCTGCCTCTCATCCACCATCATTGTTTTAGAGCTGTCATCAGACATGTGAACTCTAATCACCAGCTACAACAGGTGAAAAAGAAATCTGAAGTAAACAAAAAAAAAGGCATTCTAGAAAAGGATTTCTCCTACTAGCAAATAATGTTCTGACTACTGTATCTTCAACATTAATAATGACTTTATTAAGAGAAGATAAAAATCTAGTCATTCAGTGGCCTAAATGTAAAGCATTATATTTTTAAAAATTATAAGGTAAGATTTTAATAGTTAACAAACTCATATAATAGTTCAAAATTCTTTAAGGAACATTTAGAAACAACTAGAAAGTAATTGAAAAATGTATTATTTGGAAGGACTATTCCCATATCTTTCTACATCGTAGAGGTGCATTATAGAAATAAATAAATCCTTTTTTAAAAAACAGATAAAAATCCCCAAATAGAAAAAGCCCACATATCACCTTTTTCACTTGTGCCTCTTTAATTTTCTCTAGGGCAACTCTGATCTTCTCAGCTTTCAGTTTTGCTGCCTGTTCTTCCTGCGAATACAAAGTATTTGGATAAACTAATGCTGAAATGATGAGAATTCTGGAGAAGGCTTTTAATTCTTAAGGATGCTCCCAGCACTGAGTGTTCTTAAGCATACTGTTTTATACACTTATGTAAAGCACACTTTAAAAATAACACTTGAAACTCAATATTGAAAGAGAGGCACAAAAGACAGATTCAAATAGGCCTCATATTACAATAAAATAGTAAGTTTAATTTTGATAAACTAAAGCAGATAAATTTTAGGTTCTGGTGCAGATAAAGACAACTTGTGGATTTACCAATTTGATACACTACCATAATCCCTCAACTCAGAACTTATACACCTTTTAAATAATGGGTGATCTTTTGCATGCTAATGGTTTGCTCTGAAAATGTTATCACCATAAATGTATCTACAGCAAAATCCCATTATGAATCTATTTCTTTACAGTTATGAAAAAAGTTAATATTGGCATGCTGTTTCATTGGTATAATATTTAACCTTAGTATACTGTTTCATTAGCATACCAGTACAAGTAAAGCCATCTGCTTCTGTAGCTCAAGTTTTATTCTTTCGAAGTTCATAATATAATGAATGTCATGTTAGTCAACTCAAATTTGTTGCCATCCATTAATCAAAAGGGTTTTTAAATGAAAGTATTTTAAATTTTTATAATTTTCACATAAATTAATTTCCAAAATACTTACAATTATGAGTAGTAAGAAAATGTTCAGGAACTAAAATTAAACCATTTGTCTATTTTTTCCCCAAAATAACATACAGTATTTTAAACACTAGTACTTACTTGTAATTTCCAGCAATAGGCCATAATATACTGTAGCATTAATCTCCAATTAAAAAATGAAAACTCACGTAGGTAAACCTTTTTCTAAAAAAATATTATCTTCTGTTTTTAAGCTCTTGATTAAATAATCTAAGAAAAAAATACAAATTGCTATACTATCTATTCCTATATTTAAGGCTCAAACAATAAAAAGAAAATTCTAATGACATTAAGTCAAAATTTAGCCTCTTTGAATTGTGATTGAAAAAATATAAACTATGTGTTATTCTTCATTAAAAAGCCAAAGCTTCCAGGGCAAAAACAAAAACAAAAAGTTGATTCATCCGTTCCAAATTCTGTTGGCGGTCTTGTTTATGAACTACTTCTCTTCCCATTTTTGAGCTGTCTCCCCTCATTTCAAGCTTAGTATTTACTACTCAGCTGAACAGAGAAGAAAACAGTGGTTAGGGAAGGCAATGGTCTTGTTTGCCAGAAATCTAATCCCTTTCAATGAAAGGAGCCAGTGAATTAACATAATGACCAAGGTCTTGAAATACTATCTGTAAACCCAATTAGGCAGAGAACAAAGCTCTTTATTTTAACAACAGAGAGGGGTAAGATAAGACTTGATTCACATACTATTATAGACATACTCCTTTGACTAAAAGATTTAGATCACCCTCTCTTTAAAAAAGTTACTTTTATGTAAATAAACATATTAACTATAATAAATATGTTAATGTTTCCCCCTAAGTTTAAATTCATCAATAGTTAAATGACTAATTCTTGAGGAGAGCACTACCCCCCCCAAAATTTTTTTAGATACTAGAATTTTCCAGTAGTTTTTAGGAAATCAGTTACTTGACAGATTTTTTTCCCAGGAACCAAGTTTTTGAGTCTTTTCTCAATGGGATAAATGACCTTAGAGCTCATCTGCCATATCCTTATAGTATCACATATAACTATTAGAAGAAAAATTCAGCAGGCCATAATTTCAAGTTTCAGGTCCATGAAAGGTAAATTTTAATTTCAGCATATATGAGGAAAAACTGTTATATAGGATAATGATTTGTCTAAGTCCAAATACAAGTGTGAACTCTTAAAAGATCAACATTTTGTCCCCAATATTATTACTCTACAGAAGCTTAAATAAGTTTTGGTGCTGTCTTCAAAGTAAAAAATGACATTTTAAAATAAAACTAAATTAAGCACTGTATTCTAAAACTCAAAAAACTCAATGCCGTCGACCTGGAACAGACTGACCCCCCCAGTGGGTTTTCAGAGGCTGTAAATCACACAGGAGAAGGCCCATTTTTCTCCTAGGGAGTAGTTGGTGGATTTGAACCTCCTGCCTTTGGGTTGGCAGTACATTCTAATATTGATTATAAATTTAAAAATAATGTTCATATTGGTGTGATACATTACATATTGCACCACAGCTAATCAGAAAGTGACAGGTTCAAATCCATCAGCTAGTTCTGAAACCCAGTATAGTTGCTACTGAAACCCAAGAGAGTGAGAATCTATTCAACATCAGTGGGTTTGGTTCATTTGGATTTTATATTAATATACACTCATTCCTCACTTATTGGCAAGGTTAGGTTCCACAGACTAGGTGAATATGCAAAAACTGTTGTTATGTGAAAATGAAGGACGCATAACTTTAACCGTAACTTTTTTTTCACATAACTTTAACCATCACTGCCAGCTTTATTCTCCTTCGGCAAGTCAGACAGTAGCTATTTTACTATTGTAAATGTGAAACAACAGACAAGAAGATACTTGATAAGTGAAGAGAATACAATCTGTGGCCTAGTGGCAAAAAGCTGCACTGCAATCACCAAAGCACGGTTCGAGGCCACCAGCTGTTCCACAGGAGAAGGATGGGCAGTTTCCTTCTGTGTGGATGGGCAGACTCCTCCGGTGCAATTAACTGCCTCTGAAAACCACTGGAGGGTCAGCTATGGGTCAGTTCCAACTCTATGGTACACAATAACAGCAATAACTATCTTTTCAAACAACTACAAAAAGTCGTTAGACTACTGCATTAGCGTAAACGCATAGGTCAGTTTCAATTCTATAGGTTAAGAGAAAAGGCTAATATACTGGAGAAAAGTATTAAACAAACAAGAGATATATATGACCCTTACAACAAATTATAATTTTTATAGCCATCAATAAGAAAAAATTTTTATGAAAAGCAGCGAGGTGGAGCTGTCTGTACAACTCAAATACAGCTATTCTTCCATGTGGTAAAAATTGTTCCTCTTTAAGAATTAGATTTTATCAGAGGTATGAGATTCTAATCCACCAGATGCTCTGCTGGAGAAAGAGAGGCAATCTCCTCCTGTACCAGTCAAATCCAATTTGACAGTACACATGAAAAAGAATAAAAATTTTAAAAAAGAATTAGATTTTATAATGGAGTATATTCTTTGACAATCAGTCATTTGTAAATGTGAGTATTGGACAAAGGACACATTGGTGATCTAATGTCCTGAAGTCTCTGGGTACCATTTTAGAAGTATCCTCTAATGCCCAGTCTGGTACAATACAGTAGTCTTTGCCACTTTTTATTCCATTACCCTGCTTTATTTTTCCATTTAAGTCACTGGCTAACATATCATCTGTTATTTATTATCTTTACTTTCTCTCTGTTCCTCCCCTTCTTCTCCCTCCATCTCTCTCTCCCTCCTCACTCTCTCTCTTTCACACACACACTAAACTCCTCAAAAGCAGGAACTCTTCATTTCTAAACCTAAAACAAAGCCTAGCACATTGCTTTACCACACATCTGAGATTAAACAAATAGTTTCTACATTTGAATTTTGTGTAGTTTTAACACAGAACTATACATCTAATTATGTCTATTCTTCAAAGGGGAGGGGGAGAATTGTTTTAGGCTCTTAGAGGGGTGATAGACACAAGATGAGTTAATCTGTGCTGATGAGTTTTACTTATATATTTCAGAAGATCTCCAAAAGCTTCTTTAGGAATTCAAAAGTATGTTCAATGTCTATAGAATCAGATTTAGTAAATAAGGACAATACTTTATTTAACCTTATATTCTTTCTCTACTGAAAGCTGACAATTCATAAATTTAATCTCCTTAATTCATCTGCCCTTTATCTTTTGACTTTCTCTTATTTTGTCACTGTTTTTCCATGACCATCCTAAACCTAAGTAAAAGATTCTTCACCAGCATAAGTTTACTTTCTCTCCTACTCCTTCTCTTGAATAAGAGAGTGCATTTTCAACCTGAAAAACTCCTGTGGAGCTATCAATGGCCATCAAATGCCAACCTCCTCAAATTTACATAGAGGACAAAAACTAGGTGCAGATTTTAGGATTAAATGAAAGCCAATGCTGTGGTTACAAAGTGTTAGAACATTCTCTTTGGTGTAAAACTTAAAATACCTTGAGTAAAGAATTACAGTTGTTAAGGGATGGCTAGGGAATGATTTTAACTAATGATTTAGGCTTTGTGGGTTCAAAACAAATCTGATTGAAATGAAGGAGATAGTAATAATTAGGAGTTTCTTCAGAATCTAGTTTATGTCACAAAGTGCAACATTAAAAATTATGTAAAACTGAAATAATTCAAGTAGAACACTGGAGTGATGTAAATAGTTGAATGACCATTAAATGCACTATTCTACAAAATAGCTTAGAAACAAAATAACAACTAGTTTATTTCCTTGGAAGTAATTATGAAATCATAGATTTTGTCTTCTCTGAAGAAAGAACTAACATTAACAGAATAATTAAACTTTTACATGTACTAGGCATGTTTAACAGTATTTCATTCAATCCTTAGTAAAAATTCAAGGCAATATTATTATTTTCTCAGTTGTACAGATTAACCAAAGCTTAGAAAAATTCTTTCTAAGATAATATAAGCAGCTAACAAATAACTAATTGTTCCTTCTACCATAATGTCTCTTCTGTCCTTCAGGGTCATAGCTTAACTCTGGAATACCCATAAATACTTCCTGACAAAACAAAACAAGAAAACCCTTTCAGTAATAACAGCAGCTCTCTAACTTTTCTCAAGCAAATGAAAATGACAGTTAACATTACATGAGTTTACAAAACTTTCTTTCATTTGGCAGAAGTATGCTAAGACAATGTGCTAGCCTTGGCTAGGGTTCAGAAAACAGAGTTCCAGCTCTCACAGAGTTTAATGAGAGAAGATAATAGCTAACAAAATGTCAAGTAGTGGTAAGTCATACAGTTGGGAAAAATAAAGTAGGGTAAAGGACTAGAGTGACAAAGATCGCTGTTTTACATCACACTGAAAGTTAGGGAAGACTTTGTCAATGACATCCAGAGATTAGAGGGCAACATATCACCAACATTCCCTTTATGGTGACACAGTCCCCTGCTGGTACCAAGCCACTCCTAGAAGAAACTGCCTGGCTCCCTGGGGCTAGAACTGGGATGGTTACATAGTTATTCCAGTAACAACAACACTGTGACAACTGTATCAGTGATGGGGAAAAATAAAACCCCAAAACTTCCCCTTCCTGAATATGAGCTAAGCACACTGATACTGTGTTAATTCTCTGAGTGTTACATGCTCCCAGTTTAATGCAAAAATTGAAACTAATTGCCATTAAACTGGTTCACAGTGATACTCCACTAGGTTTCCAAGGCTGTCAATTACAACAAGAGAAGACTGCCCATGTTTCTCCCATGGAGCCACTGGTGTATTTGAAACATCGGAGACAAAAAGTCTTTGGGTTAGCCTATAGCATCAGAACGCTCTTCAGACATATCAGGAGGGAAGCATGTTCTTTGAGTAAAGGCAGTTGGGCGGCAAAAAAGATGGTTAAAAAAAGGTGCTAAAAACTCGTTTTAGCTCTAAAACAGTGAGGTGCTCTAGTCCAGCGAGCACGGGCATGAGTCTAATAACTAAGCTCACTGGATGGGCTCCTGCGGTTTTAAGTTGTTTAAGACCTCCTCCTTGACACTCTCTCCCATAAACTCCCATCCCAACCTCGTTTATTAGGTTCTACGTTATTAAATCCCATTTTTTGCTCAAATTTCTCGTTTCATGTAAGCAAGGCAGTATATACTCTGTAGCCAGAGCCAGATGTTGACCGTGTATACCAATCCTGCCATTTAGATAATGGGAGAGTGGGAGACAATAAAGGCAGGACTGGCTCTGATATTGTGCTCACTATCAGCATCTCTTAGGCAGAAGGAGACGAGAATTTATCGACTGCATCGGTTCTTGTCAAGAATAACTCTCCCTATGGTAAGAGTTTTATTCACTGACATATTTCTAGTACTGTAAACAATGTCTGGCACTTGTAGCAATTCAGTAAACATTTGTGGAATGAATTTCTTTTTTTCAATAGTTTCCCACTGCACTTGGGGGAGGGAGAATGTGGTGAAACACGGGCACGGCTTGAAAGATCTGGCTCCTATTTCTCCAATCCAAATCAGGGCATCTGTACCTTCATTCAACCACGGTAGATCCAGCAACATGGTATTTTTTCAGTTTCTAATACATGCCAAGCTCTTGCTCCTTTGGCTTATCTACATGGAACACTTCCCAACTACTCTGTAGGCTGGCTTCTTCTTGGCCTTCAGGCTTTACTGTACCTGTTACATCACTAGGACAGCTTTCTCTTATTTATCACCTGAATTATTCTCTACTGCTTTGCTTTGTTTCCTGTGTTAACATTTACTATAATACTGAATTTTTTTAAAAAGTTTGCTTATCAATGTTTTTTATATTCATAAGTAGGCTACAAACTCAGAGTCAGGAATAAGATATCCCTTCTACCTAATGCTGTATCCCCTGTATATGGCACAGCTCAGTTAATAGTTATTGTAAGGTGCTGTGGAATACAACTCATAGCGAGTCTATGACCAACAGATCTGAACCCTGTTCTATCTTATGTCATTCTCTCAGTCTCTGACACACTCAAGCCTGTTTCTGTAGTCACTGCGTCAATCTATTTGGTTGAGGATCTTCCTCTCCTCTACCACTTTTCTAAACATGATGACCAAGGAATAGCCTCTTCTAGCAATATGCCCAAAGAATGTTAGGTAAGTAGCTTTCTTTCAGATACACAATGGTGGTAGTACAATAAAATATAAAAATGTGTATCAGCAAAGACAATGAAATTAATGAACTCAATAAATATGGCAGATTCCACTAGAGGATTCAGGAAATAAGTTGGTGGGGGGAAAGCAGAAGGGGCTTAAATCTGAGTATCTGGAAGAATGACAGAAATAGAAATGTCGTAACAAGGGAACAGATATGCATTCTGAGATACTACAGAGTGGGTAAGTAAGCAGGAGACCTGGGTGATTTCAGGTGCTGGTGAGGTGCAGACTCCTTCCAGGAAATGTTTAGCAGTAATATGGAAATGTAGGGCCCTCCTCAGAGGGGAAGAAATCTCATTTGGATTAGAGATCCTAGGTGAAGCTATGAGCTTAAACTCCAAAAAAGTAAGAGACTAAGAGAAAGAGTCTATACTTTTCTGATCTTCAAGCTTCACTCTCCCTCCATCTGTTTTAAAGAGATAAATGTACGCCCAAAAAACCAACAACAAAACAAAACAGGTAGGGGAGCGAGCTCTGGTAGCCTAGCGATAAGAAGCTGCACTGTAATCCCAAAGGTATACAATTTGAATCCACCAGATGCTCCACTGGAGAAGGGAGGGGCGATCTTCTCCTGTGCCAGCTGGAACCGATTTGACAGTAAACAACAAGAGAAAAAAGAAAAGAAAAAAAACAACAGGTAGAGAAGTGGGAATTTTTTTAATGGCTTCTTAGGAGATTCTAATTTCAGGAAAGGATTTATAAAACATATGAAAAAGAAAACAAAACAAAAATCCCCTAAGATTGAATAACTTAAACATACCTATAATTATTATATTCTTTAGAAACTATTCACGAATATCTGAAATTCTTAACATTTAATGCTATTTAAATAATGTAATAAGGTAAAGCCATGACTTGATATTGATTCAGTTTTTCTCTAATTCCTTGGCTAAGAAGATTTTAAACTGACAAAAATGTATCAGCTGAGGAAAATCCAGGTGAACTCATCCAAATATTCCAAGAGTAGAGAACCAAGAATTAAAATTGCAGCCTTCTTTCTTAATTATGCTAATGTAAATGAAAATTGTTCGTATCAGTAAACATTTCAATTAAACAAGGTGATGATAATGCAAACAATAATTAGAAAACAATGTCTGGTGAATAAACTCGCAATATAAATAACCATTACTAGTGAAATGAAATCAGTGTTTAAGATTAACTTTAAAGTACAATACATTAGGGAACTAGGCAAACAAATGCCACATATTTAGGAAGACGGTCAGGCATTTAAAAAATGCAAAAGACTAAGGAAAAATTTGTGAAAATAGGTTCTATTCTCAATATTTCTCTGATGGTCACTATGATCAGTAAATAGTAACTTTCACTAAATAAAAGAGCACCTCTTTAAGGACAAAGGCACTGAAATAAGTAATAACCTGACAGTACAATAAAACCCAGAAATTACATTCTAACCTACAAGGTAATAAATAGTTACATTCAGGAGGACAGAAGAAATTATCACCTTGGTCAGCAAATGAGAAGGTTTTCCTGCAATGTTTCGCAGAAGAAGGGAGGTTTCCCTGTCCAGATAGGAGTGCTTGTGCAGAAAAAAAGAGAGAAAAACAAAACAAGGCAACAGAAATCAGTAGAGGTTTTATGTATTTAAAATATAGACAAAGCAAGAATGAGTCTCTGTAACTGATCTCCTTTTTACACTAATGAACTGTATCGACAAAGTGGGAAGGGTGAGCAAGGAAAGAATCATCTATGCCAGTGGGTATGTCCCAGCAGACTCACGTTGGTACCTCACTGAAAACAGAAAATACACTAAAAAGAAATAAATCAATCCATAGAGCCAGTTTGCTTTCTAGAACACTGCTGCTGAGTCGATTCTGACTCAGAGTGATCATCCATCAGGTTCCCAAGGCTGTTTAGTCTTTACAGGAGGAGAGTGCCCATTCTCCTTCCACAGAATGTCTGGAGATTCAAACTGCTGACCTTATTATCACTGGCACCGTGACACACTATGCACATCATGAGTAAAATGTGTGGAAGAATAACAACTACTGGATATATTCTTTCTTGTTTACTGAAGCTTATAGAAGACCTTGGTAGTCTTAAATACTATTTTCTGGGTAAGAATAAAATTAGGATTATATTCTTTGTAAAACTGGTATACATATTTATCCAAGAGTAAATATTGCAAAAGGGAAAAAATCCATAAATTACTACCTAAAAGACATCATAAATTATTACCTAATGGACACTCTATGAACTCAGAGGAACAATGAAAAAGTTATACAAGTGTTCAGGTCTTTCGTTCATAGGGCCACTATGAGTTGTCTACTCGACGGCACTTAACAACAACAAACACAGAGGGAGCTCTGTTGGCCTAGTGGGTAGAAAGTGATGCTACCAAGCCAAAGGTGGGTGATTTTAATCTGTGGTCCTCAGGCTTGGTTTAAATTGTTTTTTTGTCGAACATTCTTCTAAGTGGTCTAGCACTGGTCTATGCATTTGCTGTACAGACGTAACCTGTGGTTGTTGTGATGATAAACACTGTGACATTGGTGTGTCTAATGCAAAAAGGATTAGCCATGGCGGACAGTATTTGGTGGAGCTCCCTGATTAAAACAAGCTGGAAGCAGGAGTGGCATCCACTTCTGAAATAGCTTGCCTCTGGAAATTCCATGAACTTGGAGAAATGATGAAAGTTATGTAAGTGCTCAGGTCTTTCATTCATAAGGTCGCTGTGAGTCTACGACTCAATGGCACTTAACAACAATAGCAACAACGGACATCACTCATTTCGGTAAACTACTAACTCATCTTGCATATGAATTATGCTATACTAATAGGGCTGTGCTGCAACGTACTCTTTTTAGTTGCAAGTAAAGAGTAACGTAAGTGCTCACTGTTCTTACTCCCATTTATTTTTTGCAATTTATATCTAACTGGGGGTAAAAAGGCAAGCTTACAAAGATAATATGGTAAATAATTTCTTAAAAAGCTATTCCTACTTACTTTATCTTACTTAGAAAGATAACATCTCTGAAAAATGTCCCCTCAGAAAGTGGAATAAAATAGTAATAGGCAAACTAAGGTTTGTTAAACAGAATTCCAGACAAATTTTTAAAAAATAAGTCTTATAAGACTAACTCAACAAATCCTTGAACTAAAGTCACTGTAAATGGTGGCACTAAAAAACAACAATAACAAAAAACAACAAAAAACTAATCCACAAAAACACAAAACCAACAACTATTTACAGTCAATAAGTGGTAACAATATTTAATTGCATTGTTTAAAGACTCAGAAGCAGAAAAATCTTTAATTTAAAAGTATCAAAATATTTAAATTGCTTAAAAAAAGTTAATCACCATGATTGGTCACCTCAAAATACGCATCTAAAAAAAGGAGACCAATAGTTGAACATGATCATACTTTCCAGTCATTTGTGCGTAGCACAGTCACTGCTTGCTTGCTAGAGGGAAGGAGCTCAGGTCTCTATCTAAACTACAGCATCTGGAGCAGAAAGAGGGAATGTCTAAACTCCTAAGAAACAAACATCTTCCTTACTATCTCTCCAGTGGTGCCAGTCACACACAACTCCTAGGATTCTGACTTCCTCAGAAAGGTGGAAAACGCTGGTAGGAAACTGGTTACTGGAGGATTCAAGACAGCTGAGAAGAGGGGCATATCGTTGGAGAACTCAGTGGAAGAGAGGGCAAACTCAATGTGGGGCACTGTGTCCAGCCAGCCCTCAGTCTTGGTATGTGTCGGTGGTAATGAAAATGTACATATAACATTATAGAAACAGTTGTTTTCGATTTTCCCACACATCATTATTATTATGAATACATGGGAGCTCTGGTAGACTAGTTCTAAGAAGCTGAGCTATAATCCCAAAAGCATGTGGTCCAAATCCATCAGGTGTTCCGTAGGAGAAGGATGGGCAATCTCCTCCTGTGTGATTTACCACCTCTAAAAACTCACTGGAGGGTCAGCTATGGGTCAGTTCCGCATCAATAGCACACAACAACTATGAATACAAAATCCATTCTTTTTCATCAATTTCACTCTCTTCAATTTCCCCCCCCTTCATTTCATTTATTCAACTACATGTTAAGTTTCAACTTTGAACCTAAAACTATGTTAGGCACTGGAGATATAAAAGTGACTCAGATATGGGTTCCTTCCTTGCCTTTATAGTTTCGTTTAATAGGGAGGTACAGACACGTGAAATGGGCCATTACACATTACAGTACAGTGTATCAGGTGGTATCTGAAGTAGGAATTGAGTAACCCAAAATTAGTGGTTCAGTTAAGTATCCCTGGAAAAACATAAAGAATATGAGTAAGAAGCAGCTAGGAAAGGAGGAGAGAGAGGGAGCAAATAACAGATATTCAAGACCAAGGGTTCTCAAAGGGGAAGAACCGGCCTCCAGAGATTTCAGAAAATGCTGGGGACATTCTGGGTTATTACAACAAAGTATGTGTGTGCATCTAGTATTTGTTGAGAAGGAAGCCAGAAATACTAGTTGTCTGTTCACTTAACATACAAACACAAAGTATTTTTGTAATAGTTTTAACTTTCAATGAATTTTCCAGGAATGCAATATAAGTTAGGGAAAGACTGCATTTTCTTCATCTGTACAGAAACTTTATCAAGAGTTGATCACAGTGCTAGGAAATTAGTGTATCTTGTTTGAAAAGTATGTGTTCTATCAGTCACATGCAAGTAAATGAGATTAGAAATCTGGAATTCCTTTGAACAGAATTAAGAAAAAATTCAATTAAATTTATTAGAATAGAAAGCGAAGAAATGTCAACTTTCATTAATGAAGATTATTTTAAAATACTTCACATTGCTATTGTCTTACTTAAAATATTAAGTAGTTAACAGTTTAAAAACCAACTATCACTATTATAAATAAGACTCATTTGCAAGATATTTGGACTTGACTTGTCCATTTTCTCTACCATGGACGGTCTTAGTATATTATCCTTACTTCAGTTAAGCTACGTCCCTTTTTCTCCTACCTTACACATCTTCCCTGTCATTACATACTTCATTCTGGTCCCCCCCATGTTTGCTCTTTATCTTTCCTAGACTTCCTGTAAAAACACAACTTGCAATCTTTTCTCTTAAATGAAAATATTTACATTGTAACTACTTCATTATGCCTTCTAAGACAGTGGCGGCCAAGAACCGACATTTTATTATAAATTGGTTATTCTTTCAGTGTTAGGGCATTAAGTTGATTTAAAAAAGTATATGTAGGCAATTCTGGTGGCTTAGTTGTAAGAAGTTGCATTGCCAACCAAGAAGCAAGTGGTTCAAGTTCACCAGGTGCTCCAAGGGAGAAAGATGGGAAATCTTTTCCCGTGCAACTTTATGCTCTGAAAACCTGCTGGAGGGCCAGCTAGGAGTCCATTCCAAATCAAGGGTAGATAACAAAAACATATGTAGGTAGGTTACATTATTGCCTATGGATATAATTTAAGATGATGAAGACAGTATTACAAATTATTTTCTGAAAAAGGGGATAATGACTCTGAAAGGGCTGTGAACCACCGGAGAGAAGAAATAAGGAAACGACAGGACAACTGTAGTTGACTGTAGACAGTATAGTTGATGCTTCAAAATGTTGGCTTTAAAAAGGTGGTTAGAGATGAAGTTGCTGTTGTATTAGGTGCTGCTGAGTCAACTACAAGTCACAGTGACCCCTCAGATTAGCAGATCTGAACCTTGTGCTATACTGGACCATCCCTACAACCTCCTCCATGGTCAAGCACACTGTCGTCTTCACCATGTCAATCCTGGAGGGCCTTCCTTTCTGTCTCTAATCCTGATCCTTCCCAGTATGTGTCTTATCCCAAAGACAACAAGTTCAAAGTATGTAAGCCTTTAAGGAGCAACCTGGTTGCAAGATCAACTTGTTTGTTCGTTTGGACCCATGGGATATTACAAACTCTGCCAGCACTAGAACTCAAAGGCATTGATCCTTCATACTTCTTCCTTATTCACTGTCCAACTTTCAGATGCATACAAAACAATGGAAAGTACCACGGTTTAGATCAGGTGCACCTTAGTCCTTAAGCTGACCACCCTGTTCTTCAGCACTTTAAAGAGGTTCTTTGTAGAAGATTTCCCCAATGTGCTACATCTTTTGAGTTCTTGACCACCGTTACCATGCACATTGATTGTTGAGCCAAATAAAATGAAGCTAAGCATGCTTTTGTCTAGTAGGCTAGCTCAACATCAGTATTTCTAATGAACGCATTCCTCTCCACTGATATTTAAGTCATCTCATAGGCAGGTTTGTATAACTTACAGGAGTCAGCTCAGCCTGTTCTTCAGTGAAGTCAATATGACGCTTGGCCTGCTTGCTGGGACATCTCAGAGAAATAGCATGCTGTGAAAATGCAGGAAGGGAGAAAATGATAGGTAAAAGAGGAGGGAAAAGGCAGCACTCATCATCATGCAGGAGGAAGGGAAATGATCACAGAAATGAACTGTTAAAACAAAATAGTAATGAAAAGTGGCATGCAATTACATTTCATTCTTTTATGCAAAAATAAAGAAAACTGGATGATCCTAACCTTTATAACTTAAGTATAATCTCACTCTGTGAGACAACAGTATACCAACACAGAACTCTGTAGATATGGTATCCAATATAAATCTATACTGTTAAATCTCAATTGGGCCTTGACCACTTCTTGACAGCTTTCATAATCTTTCTCCCCCATTCACAAGCCATCTCCTCCAAGTTGGTTTCAAGCAGTTTTACTTCCTCCAAGCATTTAACTTTGAATTTTCTTTCCTTTACTGCTAAGAAAACATTACGACGATCATCATCACTAAAACAGTGTAACCGTTAGTTCTACATGAAGATAGAAGGTTTTTCTTCCAGAGCTAACCTGTTCTAGGTCTCAAGCATTCCTTCTCTAGTCTTTGAAGGTCTACAAGTCCTTAGGGAGTGTGGGCAAAGATAGTAATATACTATTTTGAGCACCCCTCCTCTTGGTAATTGACTTTCTCCTTTCTAGGGCTAAATTGGCATTTCTCTAGCCCTTAAGTCCCTGCAAGCTATGTCCAGATTATTCCTCAAAGCTTTAATTCTTTGAGGTATAATGCATTCTCCAAATCATCATTAATCTTTAACTGGGAGGATTTTCTGGTATTTCCATCACAGCATCACAAGACACTGTGCATTATGTTTATAGTTTTATCCCTTATAGCCTAGTCCAATGCCTAGGCAAGAAACATTTATGGAACACACTTAATAGATATTTCTTCTTAGTCTTCAAGATAAATACTTAGCCACATCAAGATCATCTTTCACTTTCCCCCTATCTGTGTTTGTTCCTTAAACAAATGTCATAGTCCTGTTTTAGCTACTCTGTCAATGGAAACCTTTAAAATCTCTATCTCTAATATCCGTAAGCTGTCAAGAAGTGGTCAAAGCTGAGCTGAGATTTAACAGTATGGATTGAAATTGGATACCATATCTATAAAGTTCTGTGTTGGTATATGTATTAAGGGTTACAAAAGTATGATAAATGCAGCCTATTCTCAAATGGCTCAGGAGAAGATTGTATGTAATTATGTAAAGAGAATGATAAAGTAAATGTAGGGGAAAAAGTCATAAACTAGTGAAAACAGGCAATGATTTCCAGCAGTTCTTTGTATTATTCTTGCTTTTTTTTATCTCTTTGACATCTCAAAACAGAAAGTTTTATTTTCTCTTTTTAAAAAATCTATTCTAACTAGATTCAATCATATATAGTTTTCATCATATATTTCCAAAGGCTTATTGGTAAAATGTAAAAATCTAGCTCTAATGTGTTCAACATGAGAAGACTGCTTATGGGCTATATTATTAAAATTCAATACATCCTTACCAAGAAGAATGTATATATGTGAAGTGACAAAAAAGTTTATCAAATCTTTAAGTTTTGTATGTACATATGTAAATAAATATTGAACTTGATTTATACAGTTATATTAAAGAAGATAAAAAAGGATATGAAACAATAGCTTATTTAGTGTTGATTAACTTTTTTCCATCCGATTCAAATAATTTCCTAACAAAAAGTTTGTCATTCTCAAAATAATCTTTACCACTAACCTCTTAAATCTAAAAGCTGTACTTAAAACATTAAAGAAAAATTAATTTGAGGGTCAATCTGTCTTATAAATTTTACTGTAAACTTTCTCAGACCCCCAAAATTTCATGTGCTATAAAATTATCAATTTTCCACTAAACTCTAAAAAAACCTTCACAAATCTCTGCAATGTTAAGTTGTGAATCACTTTCTTGAACTCAATCAGTGATACTTGTACCACTGAATTACCATTTATAAGCCAGATTTCTCTCACTGGATTTTGGTATTAGAAAAGTTGGGTAAACAGAAAAGGTGGGGTTTATTGAAAAGCCCGTCTTTAAACACAGGAGCCAAACTGCACTCAAGAAACAATCTATACCAAAGTGGTGAATACAAATAAAACACTTCCTTTTGATAGTTAACACCATTTATTATACTACATCAAACAGATCTATACTTACACAATAGGGCTTCAAATATCATGTATAACGGATTCTCCACAAATGAAGAGTAATGTGGCTCTGAAGTTGGACCGCGGAGGTACAAGTCCCTGCTCAGTCATTTGCTGACAATGTGACTCTTTTTGTTTAGCCTATTTTACCATGTAAAAAACGGAGCTATTCATAGTAATTTTTTCTCAACATGAGAAATAATAACAGGTGATAACTTTAATAATAGAGTAGGAGTGGAAAACAACCAAAGCCCTCACATAAATTTTCTGTAAGTCTCAGCTCATTCCATTTGCTATGTTGTTATGTGTTGTCTGGTCAGAGCATTCTCATAGTTGGACCTCTTATCAAGTTTTCAGAGCCTGAAAAGAGACTGTTGCGTGGAAAGAGACTGTCCATCTTTCTCCTGTGGAGCAGCTGGTGGATCTGAACTGTTTATCTTTGTGTTGGTGGCACAACTCCTTATACACAAGGTCACCAGAAAGCCCTTATTTCTTTTAAGTGATAAGATCTTTAGATTTTTCTGAGGTTATACTAAATCACACCACAAGATGGGGCTGTTACTGCATAAATCGGCCCTTTTCGCCTGCTGTGTAGTCTCCAGGTCTGGATTTGAAAGCAATGGACCATCTTTCCATCAATTCTGTGAAACAGCAGCATGGTATGATACCATAAACTCTGCAACCAGACCAGCAGAGTTCAAGTTATTAAGCACTAAATACTAAATGTTAAGTTATTAACTGACTCACTGCCTCAGTTCTTAATTGCTCTTAAATAAGGGTAATACATTTTATTCTAAGGAGCCTCTGAGCAGTGGTTTAGTGCTGAGCTGCGAAGCAAAAAGTCTGTGGTTTGAACCAATCAGCCACTGAATAGAAGAAAAGACCTGACAATCACTTCTCAAGATTGTAATGTACCACTGAGTCGGAAGTAACTCAGAGCTGACCCTTCTGAGGTCGTAGATCGTATGGGAGTTGACTGTCCACCTTGTTCCCAGAGAGCAGCTGCAGGGTAGTTGGTGTAGTTGAGAAAACACGGAGGGCAGGTCTACTCTGTCACTTGAGGTTTCTCGGAATCAGAATTGACTCTTTGGCATGAAACAACAGTGCCCATTCCACAAAGTGCTGTGCAAACTCAGTGAAAACCTATAACACACAATACTGAACACAGAACCATCTAGTGTAGTTGCTGCTAGTTGCCATCAAGTACAGTGTGACTCACAATTACCCTGTGAGCTCTGCCCTAACCTGTGCCATCTCGTCATCTCTGCTGACCACTTGAGCCATTACTGTAGTCACTGTGTCAATCCATCTTGTTGGTGGTCGTCTTCTCCTTGCTGACCCTCCAGCTTTCCAAGCATGACGTCCCATTCCAAGAAACAGCCTCACTTAGCTACATGTCCGATGTATGACAGATGAAATTTTGCCATCTTTGTCACCAAAGGGCACTCTGGCTGTACATTCTCCAAGACATCTATCTGTTCTTTTGGCAGTCCATGGGATATTCCGTATTCTTCTCCACACATAACTCAAGGGCATCAATGATTCTTCTTTCATCCTCTTTTCCTGTCGAGCTCTCTGATACACAGCAGGTGAATTCGGCACACATTAGTCTGTAAACTGGCATCACTATTTCTAAATATGTTGGAGAGGTCCCTGACAGCAGACTTGCCCACAAAGCTCCTATTATTTCAATTTCTCCTCTTTTTATATTTATTCCTCTCTTTTTCAATAACCAGCAAAATGTCTGAATACCTCTAAAATGATTTTTTACTTTTAAAATATCATATTTAAATTTAAAGCATCGTATTTCCATTTTCATTCAAAAAGGGTCATTTACCAGCTCTCTTCAATAACCTCAAAACTAAATAATACAAAAGATACCTAAAATAAGATAAAGGGGCAAAGATGAAAAAAATCTCCCATTACTTCCAAGAAATGCAACAAAAATGAATGAAATCTGTTGGAAGTATGCATTTGAAAAAATATTTATGAAAGCTAGACTTTTCCACTTTAAACATCACTCACTGGCCACAGAAATCTGTAATTAAAACACCAAGTGGGTACATTTCACTGAAAGGTAACAAGCCAGTCATTAGAATTTGAAGGGACATGTACCAGCAGCAAATGAGAAATCAAGTAATAATAACCACAACATTTCAGATTAAGTAGCTCTCTTTAATTTATTGAGCTCTGGCGGCCTAGTAGCAAGAAGCTGCACTGTAATCCCGAAAGCACACCACCAGCTGCTCTGTGGGAGAAGGATGGGCAATCTCCTCCTGTGAGATTAACTGACTCTGAAAACCTGCTGGAGGGTCAGATATGGGTCGGTTCTGACGGTAAACAACAACAACAACAACAACAACAACTTCAATTAGAAAGCTATATGCTTAAAGTTAACACTTCAGAGTAGTAAAAGGTTATATATGCTAATAATTTGAAATTTAATGCCAGTAGGTTATTTCCCTTGATAATAAATCAATTAGAGTTTTGTTATTAGGGTTTACTAAGTAAGCCCAATTAGGTTTTCCTTCCCAAGACCTCAAAATCCACACATTTATCCTGGGATAGTACTGTAAGGTGAAGGAAACGAGGGAAGTGAATTGAAGTTATTGTCTGTCTGTGTTGCACATCACAGTTTACCACAGTATTTTCACAAAAAGTTAGCCTCAAAACTATTTAAATAAGAGGAATTTAACGATACATTTCATTGGTTCCAGTAGCTCAGTTAGCAGGCATTCTTTCCCATTATAATATTTATAATCATACTCTTACTGAATTTTCTTAAGACTCTGCAAGTGTCTTTTAATTGGCCATAGTAATACCTGTAAAAGATAATCTCACTTTTGTATATAA